TTCTATAACTTCCAAATTAAAATATCTAATGAGAAGTGTTCTTAGAGTAAAATTATAGGATTTTTCCACAAACAGTACTTAATAAATAATAAGAATTTTGTCGCAAAATTGTTGAATTTATAAGGTTGAATCGTTCCACATACAGAAATAACAAGGTAATTCTCTAGCTCTGGTGGCCCATGGTTGAAGGAGGTGGAAAATGTTTAGAGGAGATGAAGGTGACATTGTACTATATAATATTAAGAAAATGTTTTAGGTAGGGTAGAGGAGAGTATATAAAATCAAATATTAAAGATTAATTAAAACTCTGGAAATCCCAGTTCTNTTATAAAATTTATAATAAAACGTTGTTCTACATCTGGCATTTGATGGTAACGTAGCATTTATGTACATACAGGAAATCGGTAAAAATAGTAATCTGTGCAATCCAGGCGATATATGAGAAAAATCAGGAGTCCGGGACTTTCCCAGAGGATAAATAAAATTTATGAGTGATTCCAGAATTTTGTGTCGGGTCATACATACAAAAGTGACTGGCCCGAGGATCGGTTAACGTTATCGTACGTCCGTTTCGACCTAGTGAACGACACCATCTCCATCCTCCTCATCCTCGTCTTCCTCAAAGCGCAAGATGGCAATGTATGTGTACGTGTATGTATGTATACGTAGGCAGAGATCGAGAACAAGACGGTAATCTTTTTCCCTCCGAGTTAACTTTCATTATGTCGAAAACCTGTACGTGAACTGAATAATATTCGCCCTTAATGGCTCCAAATACTCTCAGGAAGAAGACAGCTTCTGTTTGCCGAAAACGGAAAAGAACTTCGCTACGTCTACGGCTTCATTCACATCTTTTATTTACATCATGATTAAGTACTACTTGATAAAATAGCCACTCTTTCTGTCTCTCTAAAAAATAATTGCAGGCTGCGTATGGTTTCTAATCGATTCGTTGTTATTGATCATTATATTAATACGTCAACATCAGAACTTATGTTAGGATATCTTAGAAGCTGATTTAGGCTTTCTCTGTTGTCGTCTGAGGAAACTGGATTTCCGAATTCTAATCGTGTCTTATTGATGGAATCCTCGTTACAATGTCACCATGATCCGTCATCAATAAGGCACGGCAAGAACCCGGAAATCCCATCAGTTTCTTCTTATCATATATACTTAATGGTCATGATCTAGGACTGTCTCTCCTTCGGTGAGAACTTGAAATTTCAAAAGCTAAGGCTAATATTATTTGATTGAAAACAAGTTGGCTGTATCTTGTGCGGATGTTTCCCTGTATATTATGTAATTTTTATGTTAAAAATTATCGCAATTTTAATGAACTGTTACAACTAAATATTAAGTACCGTTTGTGGTGGTTATTGTACCATGAAGGGCAACCTTATAGGATTCTGTTTGGTCTTTCCTTAAATACTAGACCGGAAATTTGTTAAGGCTGCGGTCTGGATCCTGTCTGGCATACCTGACTTCAAATAGGGCCTATGATGGTCGGGCTCGGAACAAAAATGTAACACCTTAAAACATTGAAACCAAATCAGGTAGTTGTTAAAATTGGTTCAAATAGGTGATACGTGATTAGGTTATATAACGTTACAATGATCAAGCTATCTGAACTGGCTATGACTAGGCTACATTTAAGTTATCTTTTAAGCTACCTGAAATGACCCGAATTGGGTTATATTTTTTGGTCCTGACCTCAAAAGGGTTGACTTATCTTACTTGAACGTAAGGATAGGTAATCCAAGTCATTTTTAAACACGATTACTCAGATCCTTGAACAAACGGAGATTAACCTCCTCGTCCATACTACGAGTGGAGGTTTGTTAATTTGCCGTTGTAATTTTTTATGAATAACGACAAATTTCGTAATAATTTTCATTCGTATTGTTATCTTTCTTTCGTGATTGTGTACGTATGAAATGGATAGTTACATTTGGGTGTGAGCGGGAGGTGTTTTCAGCGCCTGAAAAATCACCACCTGATCTCTTTCAGATCTCGGGAAAAGTTAGAAACGTTATCGATTGCGATAAGTTTGCCGCAAACCGTGATTCGCCCTGTAAATTCAGGGTAAATTCAGGATAAGCTCCGCCCGTACACCATCCCGTTACCATAGAAACAGGTCCTCAGAAAAGGACACCACCAACCGTTCGCGTCCCTATCTCCCTTCTTTACGATCTTAAAGGTGACATAAATCGACCAAATAGCTTTATAAATATATATATATGCGAATATGCGACTCAAACACACGATACTTTTCTCAAATATTTCGTTATGCATATCGGTAACTTACTTATTATTAAAAAAAATAAAATAAAAGTATTTCGTAACAACTTTAAAAGTAATGAAAGCTCAGAGCTGGTATACTCATCGAAACAGAACTTCAAGCCTTTTTTCCAAGTTTAAACCCAAAAATAAACAAAATTTCGCTCGTTTCATAAATCCAAACTAAAGATATTTCATCTTGGGTACCAAAAATAGCGTTTTCTTTTTAATTTTTTTAAGGCAGTCAGGGTTGTAAATAGTAAAAATCAACAACTGAATGAAATTTTATGAAAAGAATTAACTTATACCTTAATATTCCCAAAACAGTACGTTAGATAAGATACTGGGGCGATTTCCGGTTGTACCCAAGCTGTTTAAGCTGAATGAAAAGGGATGGGTATCGATATTCAACTTTGGCGATTTATTTTTCTTTTTCGTTAAAAAATGTTCCCTAATGCACAAAAATGTTTATGAAAAAAAAAAGTTTAATTTTCCTTATCATCGAAAAATGTTAACCGTAAAAATTTATTAGATACTAAACATGGTGAAAGATAAGTTTCCGTAAGTTTATGTTGTTAATGCTCCTTTTTATTATTTTAAATTTTATCTCCATTATTGACTTTTCTTTCACTGTTGTCAATGAAAAGGTTGTAACCATTAATAGGTATATTTATTGTTCATTCACGATAAACGAAATTTCAGCCAAAAAATCTTATAGTTAATAAAGTTCAAACGATTGCGCTTATTAAGACTTAACATCAAATACTTTTCCAAAGATTACACTCATTTTACCTAAAATTGATTAGTAATATTTACTTAAATGTTTTTGAGACGACCGTTTACAATAAGCCTGATGCTAAAAATGTATTAGTGCATATTTAATAATGGCGAATTTTACTTCACATTTTCATGCAAAACGATTGAAAATTCCCCTTTATGACTTAAAAAAGATAACTTTTAAGATCTCTGTATCTTTTTAAATCTTAATCATGCCCGATTTTATTATCGCATCATATCATATTAAGCTGTAATATCATAATAAAAGAGAATTATAGGATTCTTAATTCAAAGAATTCGCAATCATGAAAGATTTAATATAATTAATGCGATATGTTGTACAATTGAAAGCAATTATTAGAAACTTTGCGAAATATTAAACAAAAACAACACCATTACATAACTGGGTAGTTTTTATTAAACGGTTTTCATATTTGTTTAACGATAATAATCTAACATTTCTATAAAGGATTTGTAAGGATATATTGGATAATTTAAACTAGAAAAAGGACACAAAATTATTAAATAATTATCCTTAAATAGACTAAATAATTTGATACCAATTCCATTATTTTACACCTTCGTATTTTAAAAAAGTATGTATTTATGATTTTAAGTATGTAAAATTGCAATATGTAGTGTACTATTACTGTACATCATCATTTGTTAACTGTCAGTGAAGGAAAAGAACAAATCTAAACCGAGATTGTTATAATAACATATTAATTGATTATAGTTTGTAATTAAATGTAGGTAGTTCATTTGGTATTTGTTTTTAGCATTGGCAACCAATTTCCACCAATATACACACTGTTATTAGATATTAAACTAGTCCATAAGAAATCCGATTATAAAATCCTTATAAAACTTTTTTAATGATTAATATATACTAGGTCTGTAGCTATTTTTTTGGTTTAGTGTTGTGTTTAATTAAAAAAGATACAACAAAATTTATTATAAAATCGACAGGAAACCAATACACGAATATGCCAGGCGCCTTCGCCATTTTTTCAATCACACAATAAATATAGTCATTTTTATTTTATTGATTTTTAACTACTACACATTTTTTTCAATAAATATAATACAAACTAGTCATTAAATTAATGTAGTAGTTTTAAACAGAATATATAGTTTTTACAAAAAGTAAAAACGTAGAAGGGTGACTAAGTATTAGAAACCGACTTACAATTAGATAAGACTGCCATTGCTAGTTTACTAATGTAATGTATATCGAAAATGCAATTAATGTTACCTATTAGAGAAGGGACAGTATAAGAAATAGATATGTATGGGCAAAGGTTAGCATACTTTAAATTGTAGACCATTAGCAACACGGAGTTAAAGATAACCTTAAATAAAATGGAAGCGGTATTAACAAAAGATGAAATTAAATAAAAATATTGTTGTAGTAAGGAAGTAAAGGTAAGGCAAGAGTTAATATAAAATCCGAAAATTATCAAAAGTCGCTGATTTTCAGTATCTGGAAAGTTATATAACTCTAGAGCGGTAACATATTTAAAACAGAGATTAGCCCAGGGTCGAGTCACCTTTAACAAATTGGAAATATTCTTCTAATCTAGAAATTCTACAAAAACGGTAGAATTTACTTCTGAATTTATGAAGGTTTTTATCACCGTTTTCTTTGATATAGTCAATGAAACTGTAATTATTTTTATTAGTAACTATTTCAGAGTGTGATGATATTGTAGATGATTAATTTCTTTGCACATTTTTCATAAAATTGTCTGTTATATTAGGATTAAAACCATTATTTGTAGCAATATGTTTGATGATCTTCCAAGTTCGCGAGGGTTGAAACAATATTGTAAAGACAAAAATATTTTTTTCCGTTACCTATATTACTTATTATGATAATGATGAATAGAAAATGTTATTAATCATAAATGTTCAATCTTAAATTTTTGTTTTTCTATTTATTACAGGAGAAAAACCTCACAAATGCCAAGTTTGTGGGAAGGCTTTCAGTCAATCGTCAAATTTAATAACTCATTCGAGAAAGCACACCGGATTCAAGCCGTTCGCATGTGACCTGTGCGGACGAGCTTTTCAAAGGAAGGTGGATTTGAGAAGGCACAAGGAAACGCAGCACACAGAACTCAGGTCGATCGTTGCATAGTGTCAAGAAACCGGAAGTACCTACACTTCTTCCAATCACTTCCTAACTAAACAAAGACGACCTTAAAATGGACCGTTTCGACGAAAAAAAAAATAATAAAAATAGCACATTATCTTATAAGTATAAAATAACTAATACGGCTGAATTGCCTTATCAAGAAAAACTACAATTTTCCTTTGTACATATTCCGTGTAAAATATTATTGTCGGTTTTTTTTTGTTTTGTACATAAGTTAAAATTTGCAAGATTATTATTATTAATTCTATCGTTGTGAATTACTTCTCATAAAATTAACGCTAATTATCCAAAGAAATGATGGATGAGAAGAGAACTGTGATCGATCAACCAAAAAAGAAAAATTAATGAGAAATTGTGGTGCTAAAAGGTTTTCACTCTGCTAGTGCCCCTTGAAGAAGCGAATGGGAACTTCTGTGTTGTGCAATTTGTTTAGTGCAATTCTTAAGCTTTAGTGTACTGACTTTTTCACTGCAACATGTATCGATTTCAATTTTGAAAAATTAAAGCTTGAAGTTAAAACATTATCCCAGTTATTCAGTTAGTACGCATACGTACCAGTAGGACGTTATCGGGTGAGTCACAAGAAAATTACGAAATTTTATCTTAATTTTTTTTTTTTTTGAAAGCTTAATTTTTAGAACGTTTGTTCAGTTTATTAAATTTATTTTATTGGAAAATCATCCAAATCAGTATGTTATTGTATTACAATAACAAACATTTTTGATTTTTTCTACAAAAACAAAATACAGGGAACTCAGTTTAGTCATCTGCTTTTAATTTCAATAACCATGTATCAATTACAACCCAATGTTTCAAAGATATTTAAAGAGACATCTCGCAATTTACCAATGTGAAATTAAGCGGGGAAGAAAAGATTGCTGTTTAGTAATCTATAAATTAAAGTTGAGTTTTAACTGATTTCTTCGAGGTATTAGTTCACAAGAATTAACTTTTTTAAATTTCTTTTTTATTCAACCCTGTTCACAAAGGCAATAAACGAAGAAAATAAGAAATGATTTCTCCTGTATGAGTATATACACTAAAATACAAATAAAGAAACACAAAAAGTTTGTGAAAATCTTTCTTTATTCATATGTAAACATGGATTTTAATCATGTATTCAATAACAATTTTTAGAACTTACCTCAGATGGAATACATGCAAACCAATTTTTCCTTTACTTACCTAGCTATCAGAGCACTAGGATTTATACGAGGTAGTTTTAGGAAAAAATAAATTATTAAAACTGTTTATCAATGCAAACATGATAGCAAATAGACAACAAAAACAGAGAAAGATTTACAACAACTTTGGTCTTTATGAAACTGTTGGTGAAATTCTGTTAGGGTAAGAAGGTAAAATAATAGTTAAGATTGAGCTTATATCAATTCGTTTATTTTGTAATTATTGATGAATACTTTGCGTTATCTAAGTAAAATCACTATCGTTAATTTACTCGTAAGACTCAAGAAAGAGTTATACACAGGATTTATTGTTATCTAACTTTTTTCTTCGTTCGTTGGCCGAAGGAAATAGACGCATTATTATTATTATTATTAAGATTTCTTTTCGGAATACGGTTTGAAAATGCATTTAGGTCCCTCTTCCGAGCTGTACGTCCACTTCATCTTGCCCTTTGGCAAGTTCAAATCGGATTTTGCGATTTTACGAGTTGCAGAGAACTCGGACCCTTTTTGTCACTGCAGTTCACAAAACGGAATTCTTTGGCTAACTTTGTATTCCATTTCGTTACTTTCAAAATCTTCTTCTTTCGGACTCTCGACGTTGCTACAGCCCTCAGCCACCGCACTATAATAAAAAAGAACAAACAAAATTACATCTTTTGTTGTTGGTGTTTGAGATTCAAAAAATGCACCATTCTTTTATAAAATACTAATAAATTATCTGTATATAGTTGTTTCAAAACTGAATTGAATCGTACAGAGATCCAAGAAAAATATTACTATAAAGATAAGGTAAAGTTAAGGATAAAAAAGGAATTTTATCGTAGCTACCAACAACCGACATTTCACCTTTCGGTAGAAGTCTTCTTGAACGTATTTTTGTACCTTGAAGGGGCAAAATACCAAAATGTGAAACGTCGGTTATTGGTTGCTTCAAAAAATCCTTTTTACCCCTAAGTTGACTTTAATTTTTACAATTATATCTCTGAAAAAGTTGAATTAAAAATTACTTACAGTACGTGATCAACTAAAATACGATTTATAGATTTTTACAAAATTCTATTCAGTTAATATGAGGGTAAATTCGTTTTATTTTACTTTTAGTCCAAAGAGTTTGAAAACAAAATCAAAAATAATTGTCTGGAAAACTAAATTAAGTAAAATTTTGTGTCGCTTTAAAAAATATTTTTTAACTTACTTGGCGGACGGCGAAGGGCACATCGATTGTCACCGAAGCACCAGGGTTGAAATTGCTGGGGGTCGAGTGGGCTTATTATCCAAAATTCTTTCGATATCTGCCATCAAGGTGGCACTTAATTTTGGAATTAACTAAAGAAATTCATTATTAACGCAAATTAATGCATTAAGTATTGCGTTGGGAATAGTTATCGTTCATTTAATAGAATCGGACTAAAAGGCTGTGATTTAAATGTCACTTAAGGTCACTGAAGATGTCAGCCGCAATTTTCGACGAAACGTCTAACGTAATAGTTAATTTAGAATATCACCCGTCAGTCCTAATCATATTTCTGCTGTGAAAGCCTATGGTTTTAAATTGTTCATTTATTTATTCATTTTTATCGAAGTTTGTCTATAAAAGTTACTTGGATTTCCTTAAGGAATGTTACCAATATTCAGTTTTGATAATGGACTCCCAGTTTTAAACACTGATGATTTTTTTTTAGTTCAGTTGATTTTCTTGTTGTAATACTTTGAAAATCATTTTAAAACTCTAATGAAGTTGCTCGAATAATTTCACAATTTTTGTCTTTATAATTTTTTTTTGATAATATACGTAGTAAAATTAATCGAAACATTTTAAATTTTACCTGAAGAGATTGAATGCCGCTAAATAATTGCTCTTCCGACGCAGCTTCCAAAAGCAAACAATGAACAGATTCATTTTTGAGGCACCAGGCAGTACATAACTGAGCAACCGAACATCCCAATTTTTCCGACAGGATACTCAATTCCTGAAGTTTTTCCGAAACTTTCCTACCCTTGTCTAATTGATTTCGATCTTTAGACCAATTCCAACTCTACAAAAAGATCATCAACACACATTTATTAATCACTTCAACATAATATAAATATTATTATAGACCCTTAAAATACCTCTTTATTAATTGCTGCTTCATCTTCTGTCCAAGAAAATGAAGTGTTTTTATTTTTAAAATTGTACCGCGAGAAGAAATTACTTCTGTCGTCTCTATCCATTGAAGAAATCATGGATGTCGTACCCCATGTCATTGCTCCTGAAAATGGTAAATAAATATCATGTACACCCCAAAATATCAATAGCTTTTTTATCTAGGCAGATATCACCTACATTACCGTTTGTTTAAACTTATTCGTAATTTTACCAATTACATTCGCATTTGCCTTGCAAAAACCAATTACAGTTCCTTTTCCAAATTTACTTAAAATCTCTATTAATTTTCACAAAACTTACATTAAAACTCTTAGCAATTAGTTCTATTTACTAATATTTAATCAGTATCTATAAT